ATATATATATATATATATATATATATATATATATATATACAGTGTAATCAGTATCTGCAGTATCAGTAAGCCCTAATTATAAACAAGAAAGATAAGACTTCTGAAGACTGTTGGAATTTTATGTGTGCTTTAAAGGGAAAACAATATCTACCGTGCTCTTTTTCCATTTACTCATTATACTCCGGTCACAGTGAGCCTCTTTTAATTCCTTAAATGCTTTGCCCCACCCCTGAGATTTCGCATGTGCTTTTCCTTCTGCCTGGAATCTTCTTCCCCATCCCCGCTACCTTTGTCCTACAATTTCCTAATCATTTTCAACATCTGGTTCAAAGGTCACTTTCTCAGAGAGACCTACCTTCCAAAACCAATTGAAAGCTCACCGATTTTTTTCTAATTGCACCCTGTGATTTTTCCAGGACAGCATTTATCACACTGTCCAATTATAATATTAACATGGGGTTTCTTGTTTAATGCATATGTCATCCACAAGGTATAAGCTCAGTGAGGACAAGTATGTCCTTTGTTTTTTAGCTTCATTAAAACTACTGCTTAGCATGGTGCTATGTATAGTGTCATACACAGGGTCAGGTACCGTTAAATGTGTTAAGTAAATGAATGCTTTGGTAGTCTATATTTATATTGTGCCCACCAGCCACATGAGGCTGTTTAAATTAAAATTAATTAGGTGACGTTAAAAAATTCCTCAGTCATACTAGTCATATGTCAACACTCACAGCCACATGGCTACTGTGTGGGAGAGTGCCGACAGAGAACACTCCCACCGTCACAGAAAGTTCTATCGGACAGCACAGGTCCACACTAAGCAATTAATAAAAGACCGGTAATAAATTAAGGACCTGTTAGGAATCAAGACATAGATTCTATCTTAGAAACATCTCTTGAACTTACCCATATATCTTCATTCCTACTGTCTTTAAGGATCCACCTAACAGGTCTCCCATGCACAAATATTTCTCAACCCAGATGGATTCCTCAAATTACTGCTAAGGATATCTATGGATCAAGTCACTTCTCTGCCTAAACACATTTATAATTTCTCATTGCCTACAGAGTAGAGTGTAAACACCTTCACACAGAAAGAAGATTTCTTATCTTCCAACTTACCACCCTGATTTCAAATGACATTGCTCCCCATACACACTCCTGAAGTCCACCTAAGCCTTCAGTATTTTGGAAACAAAATATTCTCTGTGGCAATGCTGCCTAAAATGCCTATCTGCCTCCTCCATAAGACTCAATTTTTGAGCTTCACTGAATGTGTGTAGTGTTCTCAGCTCATGCCCCTACAGATTATGTTAGGGTTATCTTTTTATATCTCTATTACCCTCATTGCACTAAGAGGTTTTAAAGAAAAGGGGGAATAGCTTACTTATGTCCCACTATCTAGTATACTGCGTTATGCACAGAACTTACATTTTATTGTTGTTGCGGAAATAATGAAAGAAAACTTATGAATGGGTTACAAAATTTTAAAAAATTCTCACCATTCTATAAACAATTCTTCAATCATTTTTTGTGTGATTTTTACTTATTTTTAAAACCTCCTCCCACCAATCACTCTATGCTACTTAGTCTAATAGTAATACCTTTGAGAAGTTAATAAAACAACTTTCACTTTAGTTCAGGAGCTGAAAAGGTAGGGGGCTCTTAAACTGTCGATGGTTTTTCATTGAGCTGAAGTTATCAGTTCAAAATGAAAACAAATAAACAACAATTAACAGCAAGAACAAAAAAACCTGAATATTTCCAAATAAATAGGGTCTGTGAGAATATCCTGGTGGAACAAATATTATAAAGAACTCCTACGGTACTTACTGAAAAGCTTTGCAAACGTGGCAAAATGTAAACAGCTAACTCTTATCTCTGACATGATCTCTTTCTTCTTAGATCTTTACTGTATCTATTGAACTCAATTTTGTTTCATAGTAAACATACATTCTACTATTATTTGTTGAAAATAGAAAAGCAATCTTATAATAACCCAATGGGGTAAAAGAAAAAAAAAGATGAAAGAACAGAGAGGAATAATATGTTCCAAATAATGTCACAACAGTTTTTATATGAAAAAAATATGTAGCAGCAACAATGATAATGCTGAGTAGCTGATTTTTAATTAATTTTGTTTTGATTTTTGGCAGGACATGATATTTTAAAAAATATTTTTAATCTTGCCAGTGATCTCTTCACTTAGAAGTGCTCACTTTTTCACACTTTAATTCTAAATTATTAAATAAAGTTTAAAAAATGGGCAGGGTGTGCAGCGATTAAGAAATTACAAAGAAAACATTTAGAACCAAATATTTTAATCAATGTCATATGTGTAGTGAGAAATTCTAAAGATAGTCCTCATTTAAAACAGTGATTGAATAAAGAGATACACTAAAGCGAGAAGAGCCTCTATTGTGCCTTATTTAAAAGAAAATTCATCCATCACATGTCCTTATTTGATCTCACAATTTGTTAGCTTTCTACCCAGAAACAATAGAATGACAAACTCTTCCTGTGTGGCCTCAGAGGTTTTGTGGTGGGAAGACTCAATTACTAGAATCCTCTCTGTCTTTTCAGTTCTATAGGAGTTTGTTCATAATTTAAATAAAATATCCCATGGCTGGTACTTAAAGTTTACACTATATTTTTAATACAGAAATTTATAAATAAGGGCAACTAAATTTTTCTTTCATATATTTCTCCACCTCTAAGATTAATTTTCAGTGAGTTGATAGTAAGGTAAATACAATACTTTGTTATAAATGTATTTCTATCACCTGAATTAATCTATCAAGAAGTAAGTACTGCACTGGTTCACAAAACACACACTTGTTACATAAATTCATTAGAGTGTGATTCTTGAAATACATTTCATTGATTGTAAATTTCTTATGACATATTTAACGTAGCTCATTTATACAAATGATGTCAATCCACACAGCACAGCCTGCCAGGGTCAGGATTCTGTAGTCCTAAGGCATGCTTCGGTATACCAACACACTACACTACCCCAAGCAACAGCCATTCATCTCAAGGCAAGGGGATTCAAGAGAAATTACTGTGAATTCCTAGACTCTGAAAGAAGAAGGGTGCTTTTTAGAGAATCTGTTCCCTAGGGGTGAAAGGATCAATCGGAGACAACATTACTAGCTATGACACTAGGTAAAGAGTGACCTGCACTCACAAGTTAGCCTCATTCAAAAGTCATGTTTTCATTAGCGCTTTTAAGTGCAGTGATGGTTTGTATTTCTGTCCCTGGAAGTATTCAAAAGCCTCAGGGCACAAACTGAGACACAAAAAGTGGTAGGCTCAAATGGAAGAAAATGAAAAGTTTGTACAAGACCAAAGAAAGCTTCCCACTGAGAGTATTAACTTAACGGCTCTTAACTGAATTTAGGCTGAAGATGTCTATTTAAGAAAAGTTATTTCAGTGAAGATAAATGCAACTACAAAAATATACTGAATTCAAAAGTATAATCCCAGAAGTATTATTAATCCATAAAGCTTGTATTCAGTCAAATGAGAGCTTTGATGGAATAAAATGGAAGTGTCTCAAAGAATGTGTATTCCCCATCATTTACAGAAAACCGCAATATTTAAAAACTGATTGCAATATCCTTCAAAATAAATGTTTGCATTATGGTTTATTGGGGGTTTTTTTCTCCTCTTTTTTTCTCTCAGAACCTAATCTAGATGAATGCTCTAGAGATATTTATTATAGTAATACTATAACCATATTTTCAGCTTATCTGATCCAGGTAAAGATACATAATTTTAGATGTATATTTTGATAAAAATACAAGATAGATTCTGTTAAGTGTTTAAATTACCTTAGTAATTACATTAAGTTGCTTTCAATTTCAAAATAAGATTGTTAACATACAAAAGTATTTTATCCTCATTGAATAAGACAATGCAGTGATTTTACTGGAATATCAATAATTGGCAAACGGATAACCCATCAGTAAAAGCAGCCAGCTGCCAAAAAGATCTAACTCATATCCGGGCAACAGCTCAGGCACTGGAAACACAAATTGTAATATTGAAAAAACTGAACCTTTTATTTTCTTTTTTCTTTTGGCTCTCACAAATTATATATGTGAGATTGTATAAATATATCCTACTACTTATAAATAATGGACATTAACTTTACTTCCATGTTACATGGCTAATTTTTCATACACATGCATATATGTCTAAGTAAAATAAATATATCTTGCCTTACAAACTCTTCCAACGCGAGAAAGGATCATCTTATCGGAAGTACTGCCTTCTTGAGATGATTCACGAAAGAAGAAATATATTTTATCATCATCTGGATTATAGGTGTCTGGTATGGGGAAAGTTCCAATAAATTTTGCTCCTGTTTGAAATAAAAAAAGCTTTAAATTAAAATACTGAAATAATTAAGCCAAACTCGTATTGCCATCTTTTGTATGTAAAACAATTAGTAGAATTAAAAAAAAAAAAAAGAACCATGAGTGAAATGTGGGAAACGAGATATACACACAAAATAAATATGACACATGTGGAAACATGTTCAAGCATGAACAGGTCCTGAACAAGTCCTCTAGGAACTCCAGAGAGCAGATGAGAATGTGACTGGCTGATATTCACAATTTTTGCAACTTGACTACATCACTCCCTTGCAAACCTGGAGATTTTATCATCTCCTTTTATATGATAGTCACTGTTCTTCAGCAAGTGTCTATTAAGAAAAGCTTAGGTAAAACTATAAACATATCCCAGATTTGGGTATATTATTAAGTTATTTTCTGTATTTTGTGTAATTGCCGAAGGGGAAAAATTTAAAAAACAAAACAAAAGCAAAACAAAAAAAAAAACCAAAACAGTGTATGGGTCAACTCCACCGTAGGGTCTGGAGACATTCTCTCCAGGTTTATATAACATCTCTGCCACTCACTGAAAAGGTGACCTTAGGCAAATTATTCATTTTTCCCATGCCTCAATTTTCTCAAACCTAACATGAGACTGCCAACATCATCTAGCTACTAGGGTAACTGATATCATGAATTAATATATGTAAAGCACTTAGGGTCTGACACAGAATAAGGGTTCAGTAAATGTTGTTTATTATTAAAATGTTAATTGGGATAATAATCATTATTATTATGACCACACACAAGAAAATGACTAAAAACAAAAATTGAGCATATCCATACTATTGTTAGAATGATATGTAGTTGTTAAAAATGAAATAGTTCTAAATACACTTTCATAGAAAGATTTCCATAATACATGATAAATAAAAAAATATTGGCAATACAATTAACCCTTTGTACTGCATCAATGACAAGTCAATCTGAGTTATGTATTCCTTTTTTAAAAAAGTATTGGGTCATTATATCCTGGTTGCATATAACTGTGAATTAACCAGGTAACAGATCTGTAATTGGGTGATATTAGTTTCAGAAATAATCTTTTTTGATTAAAGCAAAGATGACAGACAAAGAGAGTGATTATTGAGAAATGAAGGAAGGACTGTGGCTAAGTAGAAAATAGGAGACATGTGGAAAATAGGAGACACGTGGAAGGAAGCACAGAGCACCGTTTAGGAAGTAGACACAGGAAACAAGGCAAGACAAAAGGTGCCCCCACCCACCAAGATAGGGGTGAGGGGACAAAAAGAAAGATCAACAGTGCCTTTTCTAGAGTTCTGCCCAGAGACCTGATTGCTGTGTACCCCAGGACTACTGAAAATCATTGCCCTGCAAATGCAGAGCCATTGGTCAATAGGCCAGTAAACAAGGCTTCACAGTCACTTTCAACAGACAAAAGTTAATGTTTGATTCTGAGTGATGGGTAGTTCACTCTTTATCAGCCCACCTTCTCTGGGTCAGCTGTGGTCTCCCATTCAGTCTCTGCTTAAATGAGAAGCCTGAAGAAGAAAACTGAAGGGGAAATACGGGCATGAACTTTCTCCCTTTTGGTCTTTATTTTTCCCTGTTCTTTCCCTCAGCTCTATCTAGAACGCCAGTGGATTCTTAGATTCCTGATAATCTTACTTGGATATGATCCTAGATTACATAAAAGTTACATTTAAGAAAACCATTATGGTGTTTTAAATTTTCATTTCTAATTAATCTTAAATTAGGAAGTTCCATTAACAATTTCACTCAAGGTTTTGTTCCCCCCCACCCACCAACCCCTCTCTTAAATCGTTGATAAATAACAAACACTTGGTTTTGAATCCCTGAGTAAATTAGACATTTTTTCATAGTCACAAATTAACACTTTTAATTGTTCTATTTAAATATATTGTTTTCTTAAAAAGAAAATTCTTTGGAAGTAAATTTTCATATAGATATGGCATTAGGACTTCAGCAAACTCAAGAAAACAGAATATGTTTAATTACTACTATTATATATTCAAGGCACTTAAAGAACAAGAAAAACTGGTAGGATCAAAGTATATAAAAACAAATAAGAATTGACTCTTCGCTTCAAATCAATTACAATTTAGATTAAGGAAATATTAATATATGTCCAAGATTTGCCAAGAAGAAGGCCCAGTCTTTCTGTTTCCAATGACTTAAAAAGATATTTCAACAATGCGTAGAGAAAATGACAACCAACTGTGGGCTCCCACAGACATAGACCAGGCATGAATAATAATCTATAGAACTTTTTTGAATTTACAGATGCCTCAACTCAATGTTACTGACCTGCATGGAAATCTCCAGTTGCATTGGCATGTGTATTTTTAAAACATAGAAATATAAAAATAAATAAAACCTTGTAAAGTGATTCTTATAAGCATCTAAGATTCAGTCACTGACATCAGACTACCATTTCGAATGTGGGGTAAAGGATGTAGATAGGACTCATTAACCCAAGGTCAGTAATGCACATGCATGGATGGATAGGCAGAACTGGGACTGATAAAATACAATTTTTTAAGTAATTAGAGTAAGACAAAACAGGGATAAAACTGAAACTACAGAAATTATAGGAATATTATAGGTTTATTTTATCTTAACAAATATATGAGCTTAAAATGGGGATTAAAGCAAGTAGAATTTTCATTGCACTTAAATATGATTTAAGTAGAAGTTACACATACAGCATGATGACTCTTACAATGTCAGCATTCTATCAGAACTACTTAATGGTTGAGTTGAATTTATAATTTTAAAAATAACATAGTGGTGCAAAATTTGCATAATCTTTTTTCACCAGACAGAAAATGAGATATCAGTGATTTGAAACAGAAAATCATTATAGGGAAAAGGAATGGCAGTGTGAAGAAGCAAGTTGCTTGTAAAGCTTTCCTCAGATACTCAAATGGAAGAAGTGGTTAAATGAGTCAACTGTTTGGTCTCCATTTGTTTACAGGGCTCAACAAGAGAAACAAAATTCTACAACAGATCAGAATGTGCACGTTCTAATAGGAGAACAAATAAATACGGTAATTCATATTCTCCACTCTAGAAATACACAAAGCAAACCACTCTGGCTATGCAAAACACTATCCAGGTGTCGCCACTTATTGTCATTGTATATGGTCAAAAGGTAGAGTCTGTCTGACACCAATCCACATTTCAGGAATTTCATTATGACATCAATGGGGAAAAACAGATACTTTTCCAAGTTATATTTATTTTAACTTGCAACTAATATATAATACAGATGATTTTCTCGTGTTTATTCAGTGACTGTTAGTTTTACTGGACTCTCTTTTAAATGTTAGTTCTTTTTCCAGTACTATAAGAAAATTCTTTTGGAGTGCTTATTTTTTGGATAAAATTATTGTTTGGAGAAAATCAATTGGTGGGAGGCTTTAAGCCAAATATTTACTATATAAAGAAATCTAATTACGAAAAAGAGTGATATCAAATAGTACTCTATTCTGTGATTATAAAAATAAGCATATGTATGAGTTAAATATACATACACCACACACACACACACACACACACACACACACATACACACACACACACATTGGGATGTTGGAAAAGTCATGATGTATTTTTTGTTTTTCGTTGCAAAAATGCATCATGACTTTTCCGACAACCCGATATATATCAAGTAGAGAGTTTATTTCTTGCCGTTTCAATTGAGCATTGATGTCAGTATTTTTGATAGAAACTATTTCCTGACTTGCAGCCAACTTAGGGTAAAAATAGGTATCATTTAATCAGTGAATGATATACATCGTTGTTGAATTAAATAATTTAAAATTATACCAACAGACACCTGGGCTTTATTATAGCACATTTTTCCCCTTTAGCGTTTGAAACACATGTCCTAACAGGGATGGAGTTTGTTGTGCTTGTGCATTTTCATAAATGAACTTTTAGCACGATACCAAGAGTAACTGCCAAATGAAAACCACATAAAGCTACGTGGCGTGCACTATACAATACTTTCATTTCTCCGTATGAACTTCTTTTCACCCAGATGAGCTCACCTACACCCTGGCTTAATACATAGTGAGTTTCTTACTTTGCTTTACGTCTTGTAATATCTTTTCCCTACTACTTTGAAAAATGTTATCCTTTTGTGCGGAAGGAGAATTAATAGACAACAGAGCACTCCAAGAGAAACTTCAAATGAAAACTGCCTCCATATGTTAAAAATGAAAAAAAAAAGAAAAATTAAAACAAAAGTTCTTATTTACTCCAGGAAAGAAAACAAAAAATATGCATCATCATTTGTTTTCATTTTCCATAATTTACTTTTATCCTAAACTCACAAAAATGCCAAGGTGTTCGAGTAACTGGAACCTATTCCTATATTCTTATATATACTTCTATTTCCTGATATGTTCTAAGATTAAGCTGATAAAGCAAAGAGTAGAATCACCTGTCTTCATCTAGAACTGCCCATAGTATTTCACTTTTGCAATCTGTCATCATCCTGATGAGGTATTTAATAGGTGGATTAGTTCCCCAAAGAAGGAATCAGGGTTCATACTTCTTCAGTCCTTTGGAACTGGATTAGGAAAAGTCCTAGAGAGATTCTGACAAAGATCGTTGGACTAGTAAGTGAAGAGGTTAGCTCATCTCACTCTGGTTAATGGTAGGCCGAGCAAAGAACAAAATATGGCATACACACAAGCATCAAGGATTTTAAATTCTTAAAGCAGTTCAGTAATAAAGATGGATCTATAAGAGATTCATGTATCATATTTTTTACAAGTTAATTATTTAAAATCTGCATCGTAACAGTTAAATACTCAATTACAATTTAATTTTTCTATTTCTCTTAATCTACACATAATATCACTTTACTTTTATAAAAATTGAATGAGAAATGTAAAAAGTAGCATTTTAATTGAAAATGAAAGTATGGAAAGCAAATTTAACAAAAAAATTCTCAAATTTTCTAACTAAAAAT